AAAAAGTTTGGATTTGGAATTATTTATTACAAACTAAAATTAGAAATCTGTAATAATATAAATTTCTATGAAGAAAATATATTGATGTGCAATAAGCAATGGATTACACAGCTCACGCATGTGTTCTGTTTTGTTTCATTGTGAAATATACAGGTTGAGATGAAAAAACAGCAACCAATTTCAGACTGCTGTCAGTTCTAAGCCACTCATCCGACAGCTATTAAAATTATTCCAGTGACATTTTCCAGAAAACATTTTTCGTGATGGAATTTAAGCGTGATAATGTGATTTTTTATATTTGGCTGGAAACCACAAGTGGCTATCGTTAGAGCACTCCAGCATTTGAATTTGAATAAATCTTTTTGTGTTTCGTACCATCGCTCGTTACCGCAATGCTGGTAGTGGACAGAAGACAACAGCAATATCAGCAGAAATGGTTCGAAAAGTAAAGAAGCGACTTGTTCGAAACCCGCGTCGCAGTGGCAGAAAAATGGTTCGTGAGCTGAACATATCGCAATATTCCATTCGGCAAATATTGAAAAATGAGCCATTGAAATTCCAAAAAGTGCAAGAATTTACACAGAAACATAAAGAAAATAGAATCAAAAGAGCTAAAGGGTTGCTTCGCTTGGCCGAAAGTGGTGAACTGCCGAATTTGGTTTTCTCCGATGAGAAAACATTCTTTGTAAAGCAGTTTGTAAATAAACAAAATGATTGTGCTTAACTGACAAAGAGGTCAGGTCAGCTGCAAATGTGCACCTTCGGTTGGCAACCAGAGCTTAGGCGCCGGCCATGGTGATGTGGGCCATGGATGTGTGGGCCGCCATAAAAGCCGATGGCCGCTCTCCGTTGGTATTAATCGACCGTGGCATCAGAATAAATGCCGAATATTATCGCGAAAATTTTCTGGAGGAGGTATTAAAGCCTTGGGCACGCAAACATTTTGGCCGCAGACCTTGGATATTCCAACAGGACTCAACACCAATGCACTCAGTACGTGCCACCCAAAAATGGTTACTTAATCAGGTTCCTCGATTCATTTCCAGAGCACAATGGCCACCAAAATCTCCGGATACCAATCCGTTGGACTATTGTGTCTGGAGTATTTTGGATAGTAAGATTGGCACTCAAAAATAGCAAAGTGTTGATCACCTCAAGCAAGCGCTTCGCCGGAAATGGGCCAAAATACCGCAGAGCAACAGTCGGGCAGCGTGTGACGGTTTCATAGGCAGTTTGAAGGCCGTAATTCGTGCCAAAGGTGACCAATTTGAACAAAGCTAAACTTATTCTAAAACTTGATGCTATTTCCGACATTTTTTACCTTCATTCAATAATTTTTTTTAAATGTAAAAATTATGGCATTTGGCTTTGTTGCAGTTTTTTTATCCCACCCTCTATACCTCTTTGAGAAGAGCTCCAATAGCTCTTCTATGAGAAGAGCTCCAATAGCTCTTCCATGAGAAGAGCTCCAATAGCTCTTCCATGAGAAGAGCACCAATAGCTCTTCTATGAGAAGAGCTTCAATAGCTCTTCTATGAGAAGAGCTCCTATAGCTCTTCTATGAGAAGAGCTCCTATAGCTATTTTATGAGAAGAGCTGCTATAGCTCTTCTATGGGAAGAGCTCTTATAGCTCTTCTATGAGAAGAGCTCTATAGCTATTCTATGAGAAGAGCTCTATAGCTGTTATATGAGAAGAGCTCTATAGCTCTTCTATGAGAAGAGCTCCTATAGCTCTTCTATGATAAGAGCTCCTATAGCTCTTCTATGAGAAGAGCTCCTATAGCTCTTCTATGAGAAGAGCTCCTATAGCTCTTCTATGAGAAGAGCTCCTATAGCTCTTCTATGAGAAGAGCTCCTATAGCTCTTCTATGAGAAGAGCTCCTATAGCTATTTTATGAGAAGAGCTCCTATAGCTCTTCTATGAGAAGAGCTCCTATAGCTCTTCTATGAGAAGAGCTCCTATAGCCCTTCTATGAGAAGAGCTCCTATAGCTCTTCTATGAGAAGAGCTCCTATAGCTCTTCTATGAGAAGAGCTCCTATAGCTCCTCTATGAGAAGAGCTCCTATAGCTCTTCTATGAGAAGAGCTCCTATAGCTCTTCTATGAGAAGAGCTCTTATAGCTCTTCTATGAGAAGAGCTCCTATAGCCCTTCTATGAGAAGAGCTCCTATAGCTCTTCTATGAGAAGAGCTCCTATAGCTCTTCTATGAGAAGAGCTCCTATAGCTCTTCTATGAGAAGAGCTCCTATAGCTCTGCTATGAGAAGAGCTCCTATAGCTCTTCTATGAGAAGAGCTCCTATAGCTCTTCTATGAGAAGAGCTCCTATAGCTCTTCTATGAGAAGAGCTCCTATAGCTCTTCTATGAGAAGAGCTCCCATAGCTCTTCTATGAGAAGAGCTCCTATAGCTCTTCTATGAGAAGAGCTCCTATAGTTCCTCTATGAGAAGAGCTCCTATAGCTCTTCTATGAGAAGAGCTCCAATAGCTCTTCTATGAGAAGAGCTCCAATAGCTCTTCTATGAGAAGAGCTCCAATAGCTCTTCTACGAGAAGAGCTCCAATAGCTCTTCTATGAGAAGAGCTCCAATAGCTCTTCTATGAGAAGAGCTCCAATAGCTCTTCTATGAGAAGAGCTCCAATAGCTCTTCTATGAGAAGAGCTCCAATAGCTCTTCTATGAGAAGAGCTCCAATAGCTCTTCTATGAGAAGAGCTCCAATAGCTCTTCTATGAGAAGAGCTCCAATAGCTCTTCTATGAGAAGAGCTCCAATAGCTCTTCTATGAGAAGAGCTCCAATAGCTCTTGCATGAGAAGAGCTCCTATAGCTCTTCTATGAGAAGAGCTCCTATAGCTCTTCTATGAGAAGAGCTCCTATAGCTCTTCTATGAGAAGAGCTCCTATAGCTCTTCTATGAGAAGAACTCCTATAGCTCTTCTATGAGAAGAACTCCTATAGCTCTTCTATGAGAAGAGCTCCTATAGCTCTTCTATGAGAAGAGCTCCTATAGCTCTTCTATGAGAAGAGCTCCTATAGCTCTTCTATGAGAAGAGCTCCTATAGCTCTTCTATGAGAAGAGCTCCTATAGCTCTTCTATGAGAAGAGCTCCTATAGTTCCTCTATGAGAAGAGCTCCTATAGCTCTTCTATGAGAAGAGCTCTAATAGCTCTTCTATGAGAAGAGCTCCAATAGCTCTTCTATGAGAAGAGCTCCAATAGCTCTTCTATGAGAAGAGCTCCAATAGCTCTTCTATGAGAAGAGCTCCAATAGCTCTTCTATGAGAAGAGCTCCAATAGCTCTTCTATGAGAAGAGCTCCAATAGTTCTTCTATGAGAAGAGCTCCAATAGCTCTTCTATAAGAAGAGCTCCAATAGCTCTTCTATGAGAAGAGCTCCAATAGCTCTTCTATGAGAAGAGCTCCAATAGCTCTTCTATGAGAAGAGCTCCTATAGCTCTTCTATGAGAAGAGCTCCTATAGCTCTTCTATGAGAAGAGCTCCTAGAGCTCTTCTATGAGAAGAGCTCCTATAGCTCTTCTATGAGAAGAACTCCTATAGCTCTTCTATGAGAAGAGCTCCTATAGTTCCTCTATGAGAAGAGCTCTTATAGCTCTTCTATGAGAGGACCTATAATAGCCATTCTATGAAAAGACCTATAATAGCCATTCTATGAAAAGACCTATAATAGGTCTTCTATGAGAAGACGTATAGCTAGGTTTTCTATGAGAAGACCTATAATAGCTCTTCTACCAGAAGACCTATAATAGCTCTTCTATGCGAAGACCTATAATAGCTCTTTTATGAGAAAACCTATAATAGCTCTTCTATGAGAAGGCCTATAATAGCTATTCTATGAGAAAATCTATAAAAGCTTTTCTACTAGAAGACCTGTAGCTCTTATATGAGAAGAGCTGCGAACTTAGTCAGCCACTGGGATTATGCCTGCGTGTGAATAATATTTAAGAATCACACGCACCATGGTCCCGTATGCTTTTTATTGCCGATAATTCTCCTCTGTGTTTTAAGACCATTTTAAAGCCTAATTGAATTCCAGAGAGTATTAACACAAACATATATATATATATATTATATAAAATTATTAAAAAATTCATTTTTATCCATTCAACAATGCGTGGAGGACACAAAAATCCTCCCATTTTCACTTATCTTTTCGAAATATTATTATATTTGTTCACTTTGCAGTCTACGCCATAACCCCTAATACTGCCACATGACAGTGACATTATCGTAGATACTTTAATAGCATTATTTTAATGAATTTGTGGTGGACATTCAATTTATTATAATTGTTCGGAGCATCGTGTCACACATGCATGGCCTACCATGAATAATGGACATGCATAAAATGGTGCTTATTACAAATGTCGAGTTGCCACAGCTAGCATGCCTGCCCGTACGTCTGACAGAGCCTTAAGCTGGTGTGTAAAATAAATAATTTGTTCCTGGTTATGCAGCACCAGGAATGTTCTCTCTCTGTGTGTTTGCCAGATAAAAAACAATTTATTGATGCGTTAATTAGTGGTATTAAATAATTTAATTTATGCCTTTGTATGGGGTAGCCAAACAGAGAGAGAGAGAGAGAGAGAGAGAGAGAGAGAGAGAGGGAGAGTACGCAAGAGATCAGCGGTAGTGGCAAACAACCGACCAATTAACCAAAATCCATTACCCCAGGTTTTGACCGGGCCATCAGCAAAGAAAAAATAAATAAATAAATAAACGAATGGAAATCTTTTTAATTAATTTAACATTTTTCTAAAAGCCTGCTGTTTGTCGCCAATAAATGAAAAAAAAAAAAAAAACACACACACACATGAATTTGTGTTCCTTGCTCCACCCCTCCAACCCTTTTCTCGTTTATTGAGTTGATTATAAATGTTAATTTGATTTATGGTAAAATAAACACACAGGCCAATGCATCATTGTTATGACAATAAATTACAAAAAAGCAAAAGGGGTAGAAAACCAACAACAGCGACACAACTTACCTTGATTTAATGATTGTTAATAATTAATTGAGTTTCCGCAGCTAGGATGATGCGTTAATTCTGGTGTTGATATATCCTAGGATTTATGTGGTCGTACCTATTCCAGCTGTAATGAAAGTGCAACAAAAAAAAAAAAAAGACACCATTTTAACAAATTTACTCAACACAACGTCATTTTATGTTTAAAAAGAGAAAAACGATTAAATTTATTTTGTTGTAAAAAGTAAACAGCGGCTCTCTCTCCTGCTGCGTATGAGCAACATCTGCGATGGCGTAGTTAATGCAATATTAATCATACGCATTGCGGTTATGACCTTATTGTTTGTTTGTTGTTTTATTTATATTATTATGGAGTTTCTTAATTTCATCGCAGCAACGTTGGGCGTGTGACATCTGGCTGTTTGCTTCCACATTAAAACATGTGTTTTCTTTAGTTTATAGTTCATTTATGTGGGACAACAAAGCGGTATAATATTTTTCGAATGTAATTGGGTTTTAGCCTGTTGTTATGATAACACCTTCTAGTGGGGAATGAGGGCGATTTTTAAATACATAAAGCAAAATAAATGGTTTACTTCTTCTTTGTTCCATAAAAGTCCATAAAAATATTCTACTATTAGATCAAATTTTAACATACACTACCATTGGTGCGGAGTTGAGTCAATTTTTATCAGATTCGGACTTCGTCATTCCAAATTTGTATTTCTTAAAATAAATACAGAATTTTCGTCCTATAAATGTACTGAATTTATATGACACCTGAACCTTGCCATGAAAGTTCAGTTGCTGATTGATGCCAAAACTCTTGACAATCGGTGCAATTCCAGATCAATATTGACAATTTTCGGCAGGCCGTCATTATAGCCATAGAAAATCTGAAACTCCAAATATCGTTTTCTGGAGGCGTCGTTCATGGGCGCCATACCCAAGCGATTACTGACGTAACCCATTTTCAATATAATGTTTGTCTTAGAATTTTAGTCTGATCAGGAATATACCCACAAAATTTATGAATTTTCTTCTCCTCCTCCATCTCCAAGGATGGTTAAAGTAGAAGAAGGGCTTAAATTGGGGAAATTGGTTAATACTCGGTCGTGACTAGCTGTATTCAACTTTTTCGTTTTAAATGACTCATTTCGCCGCATTGTTTGGAAGTATAAGTCGGTTTGCGATATGAACATGTATTAAAAATATGTATTCGATATGATTTTTCATTTAGAAGGTCTCAGAAGGTCTTAGAACAGCTTAATTTTTAAATTCAAGATTTTTACCAAAACGTCCTTAAAAAATTCAGGGATTTGGGGCAGTCAATTTTTCAAAGTCCTTTTTCTTGAAATGTTCACGATTTTTTGTCAGGATGTCATTGAATTGTTTCCAAAACACCAGAAAAAACAATGTAAAAAGATCCCTGAGAAGATTTATTTTAATTTTAATGATTAAAATAATTTCTTCAAAAGCAGTTTTTTTATCCATGAAGACATGCAACCAGGTCCTGGAAATATTTTCTTTTTTAATTCAAAATTTTCGACCTAGAGCTTTGTTATTCAAAGTCTAAGATTCTTGAAAACAATTGTTTTCTTAATTCATCAAAAACGTATCCTAAAAATCCTGCAAGCCCCTACCGATTTTGCTAGAAATTGTTTAAAACATTAAAAACAACATTAGGCCTTTTTTAAAAAAAAAAAATCAAGGCTTTCGGCAGGATTTACGATATCTTTCAAAAAAAGTCTTCAAAAAACAATAATTTTTACATAGGAAGGTCTTTTAAAAATCTCCTTACAATTTTTCTGCAACTTCGCAAATAGTTTTCTAAAAACCAAACTACAATGTTTTTTTTAATAATGTTACGATTTTGGGTCAGTAAGTCCCAGACAAGTTATTTTCAAATGATTTTTATCAAAGAGTCCTTGAATCACCAATTCCAAATATTAAAATATGCAGGACTTTTTCTTATAAAAAAAAAAAACAAATTTTCGGTCAGGGATCCTTACTTTTTTATTTAAAAATTTACAATTTTCGATCAGGAGGTCTTTAAGAATATTTATTTTTTTTTTCTTAAAAAGATCTGCCATTGTCGGTTAAAAAAGTCCTTGAAATTTTATAAACCATTCAAGATTTTCTGAGACAGAGACATTTTATGTTCAAAAATCGACTATCTTTGGCTAGGAAGTTCAAATAATTCCTGATCTTCGTTTATTAGCTCCTTGAATGTTTTTTTTTTTTTTTTTTTTTTTTTTTTTTTGAAAATTGATGATATTTACAAGAAAGTCCATGAAAAAAGTCAGAAATTTTTCAAAATATTTAGCAAACTCATAAGGAGGTCATTTCAAATTATTCTTAAAAATTCAATATTTTCGGTTAGGAGATACATGGGAACTTATTCTCAAAAAAATAAAGATTATCCGCCAATAGTTCCTTGAAGAACTTTTCTAAATAATCCACGATTTTCGTCCAGGGAATCTTGAAAATGTTTCCTTAAAAATCCACGACTTTCAACGCCATTAAGGCCTTGTGAAATGGTCCTTAAAAGTTTTTTTCAAAAAATCATAATTGTTTGGTCATAAAGAATTTTTAAGCATTTCTTACAAAATCTACGATTTTCCGCCTGTACTTTATGGGAAACAACTTCTTAAAAATGTCCACGATAGATTTTCAGTCGGTAGGTCCTTGCTTAAAATTTGCATTCATGATATTCGAGAGCCGGAAGGTAAGAGATTTCAAGAGGACCTTCAAATTGTTTTGAGGACACTGTAGTCAATTTGACCACGATTTTTATGTAGACGGGAAATCCCTTAAATATATTTGATATATATATAGCTGTAAATGCTCAAGAAATATGTAACACTGCGCGATGTTTGGCATTGAAATAATTGAAAAATATTCTAAAAATCGTTGCTTTTGGGCCAGAATTTGAAATACATATAAAGAGGTGCAAAAGTGGCCTCGTTTGCATAATAATAAAAATACGATCTTTTTAAAGACCCTTAAAAAACCCACAATCGATAAACAACTGGGGAATACTAAAGGATATATTACAAAAATAATGATAATAAAGGATGAAAAAACTGCAACCAACTTCAGACTGCTGTCATTTCTAAGTCACTCGTCCGACAGTTGTTAACATTATTCCAGTGACAGCTCATTATATTGTTTACAAGTGTGGACCTTCGGTGGGCTCTAAAATATTCTAAAATGTCGATCACCTCAAGCAAGCGCTTCGCCGGGAATTGACCAAAATACCGCAGAGCAACATTCGGATCAAATTGGAAAAAATCCAAACTTATTCTATAATTTGATGATATTTCCTACATTTTTTGATTTTTTCAATAAAATTAAAAAAAATTTACCCTGTATATTTATGTTGAAAATTCTAAGCTATTCTGGTAAGGCACAAACCAGAGGCAGAATACTGAGTTTATGTTTAATGGGAGTCATTCAAAACTTGATTTTGAGAAATAGTGGGTCAATATTTTCCAGACCTAGGTGTGATATAAACATTCCTATATGCCAAGTTTGGATCATGTCGGGCCCCTCCAACATTTTGATCAAGAGTGAAAATAAAACACATAAGTATGTTCTGTCTGGTACCTCCATAAATGATAAATTTTCCATACCCAATCGTAATCTCCCAATGTTGTGATTGCAACATAAAATCACACATACATGCATATTTTTATTTTCATAAAATCTGTAAAAAATTCAAATCACAAATATCCTTTTATTTCTAAATTGAGATTGCCTATTTGTATTGGTTAGAACAAATATAAACTGTTGTGTGTATTGCAGCAAAACAAAGCCGAACACACATATTCAATACTGTGTGTCTGGGATGGGGGTGTGATGCAGACCATTTTGTTTTGCTAAATATATCATTTATCATCAGGCAATAAATACCAATTTATGTTTTTTTTTACTATCTATTCAACAGAGAACAGAGTGGGCTTTTTTATTTCTACACAAAAAATAGAAAAAAAATCAAAGAAAAGAAATAAATGGATTTTTACTAAAACGAAAGAAAATTGCTTTTAGATTTATTTTTGTTCATTTATCGAATACAATTTGCTGCAACAATATTGCCATTTAATGTGAATCTATTTTTTCCTGTTGCCTTTGATTTGGCATAAACGTCTTTGATTCATATTTTTCCTATTTTCCATTTGCATTGGACATCATTCAGTCGAAACGAATGAATGGTCTTTAACAATGTGATAAATAGGAAACTTTCATAAATGAAATGAAACAAAAATGCACACAACATTCTTCGATATTTTAGAATCGTTGCAGAATCGAAGAACCATTTGGCAAAAGGCTAGGCTAGACCAGGCCGGGCCGGGCCAGACGAGACCATCCATAATGAATTCATTGTTAAATGAAATTCAACAAAGCATAAAACATATCCGAAATTGATTGCAAATAGTTACTCTTCCACTACTACTCCGAGGCATAGACATGGACATGGACTAACTCCCCTTTATTGATTCATTGGGGCAGACAAAACGGCCGGCTGGCTTTGGTGTTGCAGATGTTATTGGCATAGGTGCTGTTGCAGTTGGGCGCCATCAGAGTGTTGAGTGTGTTATACCAATCCCAAATGCAAATATTAAACTTGCCACATCCATTGAAAAAACAAGCAAGCCAGCAAGCAAATGTTGCAACTATAGTTAGTCACTCAGTCGGTAGCTAGCAACACCAGTAGCAGGCAAAATAACAACAACAACAAAAACAACTAAACAATAAAGTCGATATGCAAACTATAAGGATTACAATCGTTTTGGGAATTGAACAAAAAAACAAAACTCACACACACACACAAATTAGAATATGGTCTGGCCATATTCATATATCCACACACCGATACACACCCACACAATGATATCATATTAGCAAACCAAAGAATACCATAAATCTCTGCCAGTCGACAATGGTAGTTGGCTACTTCTCTCTCTCTCCCTCAGTGGACGAATATGCATTCGTACGATTGGATGAATGAATGAATGCATGAGGAAATTGAATTAGAAAAGGTGTTAGCACATAAGGGGTAGAAATACAATAGCTATGTACTTTTGAGTATATGCAGGAATGTATTGCTATTCCAGTATAAGAGTT